GCCGCGGTGGCCAAGAACTATGGGGGGGGGGGGTTTCTAATTCTTTTTCAAAGTCATTATACCACAATACTCTCCCACTTTCCAAAAATAACAAGACAATATACATAACGCTATGTTTCCGGCCTCGAACCCTTCTCCACACGGTTCCATCAAACAACATGTGGTGTCCAACCATAGAGAGCGAAAGGAGAAGTAATATCACCTTCTTTCGCAACCATGGTATTCCGCGACGACCTTCACCAACCAAAAATCACATTGGTAAATCCCTCAAATTCAACTAATTTGGGATGTTTTTCTCCATGCCGAATCATGTTAAACCACAACGTACAATGATAGAAAATAAAAAAATTGTGTGACATTCAATAGAATTGCCTACCACCTGGTTGCTGCCAAGTGTTAAAGTGATGTGGCACTACTAGTTTAACGTGTCCGGGGAAAATTTTCCGGACAATTTGACCCGACAGAGAAATGCAAGGGAATTGGTTTGACACAATTCAAACCGTCAAAATTATAGTGTTTCCCCTCTAAGCAATGGCTAGGGTTTGTTCCTATGTGGCGACTTCCATCACCGAGTTCCCTTCGACCATGGTTTCCCCCATGGATACATATCCTCCCGTTGGCGTCCTAGGCACCGTACGCATGGTGGCTAGGGCGTGATGGCGACTCCCTCTAATGCTCAGCTGGCGATGGGAAACGACATGAAGGGCGTTGGCCCTAGTGATCTTGATGCCTTATTTGATCTACTTGATCTGCAAGATGAGGAGTTAGATGACCTAGAAATCGACGATGATGACTCAGAGATTCAGGAAACCTGGAAATCGACATGGATGATGTCAGAGCTAAATCCGACAGATCCCTCGGTCGGGTATTCTAAGCTAGGTTACTTGGCATGATGGTAACAAGGACAGAAGATTTACCCAGGTTTAAGCTCTCTAGAGGAGATAATTCCCTACATTCTAATAGAGCTAAATCCGACAGATCTCGTGTAGGGGGTGACGAAGTCCTATATTAGGGGGTGCACAACATGTCGGCCTGCTCTTCATGGGCTGGGCCGAGGACCCACCAACAACTGAAGAATGGGCCCCACAAGTCCTGGCCCTCGGCGTACTCAAGATGGAATCCTCAAAGACTTGGCGTACACTTCAAGGCGTATTCAAATGATCGACATGTTCCCTAGTTGTAGCCGGCATACTTGTGACCCTAGATACCCCAAGTGCCTATATGAGTTGAGGGGTTTAGTTTGTAGATGCATCCCAGAATATGTTAGAACTCAATCATACGATCTCGAGGTAGATCACCATGTACTTTCGCTGGTACAAAGATCTACTATACAAACGGTTTTTAACTCATTTCCACAACGGCATTTTAAACTGCCGTCTTGCTAGTGCGGGCGATAGGGGGGTCCTTCCCACACGACCCAGAAAACGTAGGGGATAGGCCCTCCGGTCACACACGACAGGCAAAATGAGCTCGTGTGCGATCGGGCTAACCATCACATACAATTATATAGGCTCAATCATTTCCGTTCGTAAGTACAACCCACATAGTGAATTCCAAAGAAACGTTTCCCTTCGTATGTATATCCCACACAGTCAATCCAACAAATACGTTTTCGTTCATATGTACATCCCACATGATGACTCCAGACAAACGTTTCCGTTCGCACGTACATCACGCACAATTTTCCCTATCAAACCGTCTATGATAGCGTTGCCATTGCAGACGATATTAACAATCTTATCGTTTGCATAATTAAATGCATCACGCACGGTGCGTACAAGAAACTGTGTGGCATAGACTGTCCATCACACACACTTTTTATGTGAAAAATGTTTGTGCAAGATGGCCTAACGCAAACAGTTTTCAAGAGGAAATTGTGTGTGATTGTTCATTGACCCAACGTTTTCTTTCTAGAAACTGTGCGGGTTGTCTGAGGTCATCGCTCATGGTGTTGTCCCAATAACCATTTGCAATAAAAAACTCAATAAGCGGGCTAATTGACCTATTATTAATAATCCATTTATTAATCAAATTGACATTTCATATTAAGCACACAATATATTTTATTTTCGTATTACGGAACCATGATTTCACAATTGAAATACGTCAACAGTTACACCATATAGGCATATAGCTAGCTACCCCATTACATAGCTGCACTAGCACCAAGTTTCACATGCAACATCTATAACCTTTGGAAATTAGCATCATAGACGGTAGATAGATAGATGAATCTCATCTAAAAAACTGCTGAAGCGGAAGGCGAATATCGAGCCTTCATTGATGTTGAAGGTCTTTGCAACTTTAGGTCAGTGCCTGTGTATGATTGACCATCCATCCTTCGTCCTCTTGAGGAAGACTTCAATATTGTAAATCTCAGTGCTTGGCATTGATGTTGATGGTTCCTGCAATTGCACAATAATGTGCTATTAGACAAAGGACCACACATGTGCAAATCTCGATTGTAAACCTCAGTGCTTACCATTGTTTCCCCGCAATACATATAAGGTAGTTATTGATCAGATTAAGTGAGGGTTGACATACTATAAGTAAAATATGTTGATGAAAAATAAACACATTGCAGATTCATCAGATTAATTTGTGCCACATGAAAAAGCCGTTTAATCCAAACCAAGCATGATTAAGAACTAGGAAATTAGCAATTGTATATGTTTCTTATGTATTTAGTACAACCAAATTCGATTTATTCCTCGCATTGCAGAATTGAACCAAACAATTAACTAAACACCGCAACGAATGAACCAAACATTAATTGAGCACCACATTGCATAATATAACATACTCCGAATAGAAGATCAGACAGTTAACCAAACCAAGCATGCTTAACAACTTGGAAACATAGCCAATTGTATTTGTTTGTCATGTATTTAGTACAACCAAATTTGATTTATTTCTTACATGCATGGTAGACAATAAAAAATGCACCCACAACAATTAAACATCGCATTGCAGAATTGAACCAAATAGTTAACTAAACACCACAACAAATGAACCAAACATTAACTGAGAACCACATTGCATAATATATAACATACTAGAAGATCAGACAGTTAACCAAACCAAGCATGCTTGACAACTTGGAAATATAGCAATTGTATTTTTTCTCATGTATTTGGTACAACCAAATTCGATTTATTTCTCACATGGAAGACAATACAAAATTGCACCCAGAAGAATTGAACATCACATTGCAGAATTGAACCAAGCAGTTAGCTGAACATGACAACAAATTACCAAACAGTGAATAAGTGAGCACCACATTGCACGACATATAGAACATATACACCAGAGGATCAGATTGCATGGTAAAAGTACATAGGACAATTCACTAGAATTTGTTAAGAGAAGGCAGGAGCAGCACAAGCAACAGGCAAACCGAACATGCTTAACCGACATAGCTAGCTAACTGAACATAGGTCCTTATAGTGAGATAATAAGACAAGCTACTCCTCATCATCGGAGATATCAATGAGGATTGGCT